TGTTTTTCTCAAAGAAGCTTTTTTAATTAATAAAAGTCTAAAAACCAAGGGTATTTGAAAATTACAGGAATGTTTATGTGCGCATGGGCACGCGAGTTGAGTCGGTTGGGAGTAGACACGCGGAATAGAGAACTCGAGGTGACAAGTTGACCGTACGGTAACAATAACTCAACTGTTTATTCGCTTCAATCGAGTACAAGCAAGTTACTTGAACAACAAACCAACTACTAAGTTAACAGTAACACCGGGAGAAGGGATAAAACGAACTCAGAACTTACAGAATATTTAAATTCAATATCAATGTGGAACCATATCCCATCAATATCAAAAACATTGATTTGAGAACTAGTCTGGCTAAGTTCTGTCTGAGTGACCATGCCCTCAAGATTGAGACTGGCAGACACAATTGTACTCCACTCAATAACAGGGTTTGCGACATGTGTAACCAAGGTACCATTGAAAATGAATTTCATTTTATGGTGGAGTGTACCAAATAGAGTGACAGACGCAGTGTTCTGTTTAATACAGCGGCTGATGTGGTTGACTCCTTTCACAACCTGCCTCCTGAAGAACAGTTCACTGCACTGATTAATAAATAGTATTGTCATCCAGGTAGCACAGTATATCAACAAGTGCTTTGAAATTAAACAACAAATTTGGGATTGATTGAAGGAGTTGTTTTATTATTTTGTTTTGTTCCCATTAATATTCTGTTTTTGTAGATTACTTTATTTTTTAATTACTTCCTTATTAGTGTATTAATACTGTATACTTTTACTATTATCTGTAACCATTGCCACTCTCTCCGAGGAGTGAGTAAATGTTAATAAATAAATAAAAATATCATTTGATTCATAACTATTCATTTCGGTGTCTCATTTTCTCATGACACTCAACGGTGCACTCAGTTCAGGGACCCTGAGCTACTAGTAAAGTGAAAATGGCCTGGCGGCGTGATTTCAATACCATAAAACTAAAGGGTACACCACCCTGGTAAAAGTACTGAGAAATCAAAGTAATTTTGGTACTCCTTTACATCGTACTGAACTGGACGGGGTATAGTCGATATGCAAACATAAATTAAATTTTAGCCCATAATTGAGTGTAGCATCTCAGTCCCTATGAGTTAGCATGAACACAGAAATTATACCCAGGGCCAAGATAATTGCTTCTCTGCTGTGTGATTCACGCAAAAACATTTAATTGGCTGTACTAGCAGTTTTGCAATGATTGGCTTACCCGATGATTGGCTTACCCGATGATTGGCTTTCACGGTGATTGGCTTTCACGGTGATTGGCTTACCCGATGATTGGCTTTCACGGTGATTGGCTTACCCGATCATTGGCTTTCACGGTGAGTGCAGAAACTTGTCTTTTCCTCGGAGTTGAGAATCTTATGTTGTATGTGCCATTAACAACCGGTGTCAATCTGGGAATACCATGTATAATTAAAATGATATAAAGCATATGAGATATGTAATTATATGCATAAATGATATACATTAATGAGAATTGGTATTATTTACGAAAATATTTTTTCACAATTTTATAAACTGGCATGGAAATTTCCACCACCAAAGCAAATTCACATAATTTTGTTACTTTGCATGTGTACTATGATTGCATATTTTAATACATACACACTCAAAATATTTATCATATAACCTGGACAAAAGAAGGCATTATTTTTCCAAACCATGAGACATTTTCCCTATCTGTGTAACTTCATGTTTTAGTATAAGGTAGTAAGAATGTATATACGTTAACTGGGATGTATATATCCTAGCTAGTTTCTAGTGCAGCCTTTCATATTACTTGACAATAGTCTACAAATATTTGGTAAGCTATAAAATTGGTATACGTTAACTCAGATGTAACAGAATTAAGTAAAAGTTACATCCCAGTAAGTAAAAGAACTAATGTTTCGTTGCGTCTTGTATTTAATTGGCCGTAAAAGAGCTGGAGGAGACAACTTAACACTTACTGTCCGTCAAATACTGAGATACAAAGGGTGGCAACCGCCTGACTCAAGGTGTTGACGGGTTGTTAAATCGCGACTTTACGTACTTCTTGGCCGGTCTGCCTTTGATATAGCTCTGTAAAATTCACTACAATGAGTAGAATTCATGTGGGCATGGAAGCTGTGATGTTTTTCAATAAAGAAAACTTACTACGAACACATGTGTATATGTGCTATTTATTCGTTTTCAACGCATGAACCTCCCCTCACGAACCTTGATATGTCGCATTTTTTGTTTGGATCCCGACACCCGCGATTTAGCGAGGGGTCACCGTATCACTAATGTGTTGCAATACAACAAATATAAAATTTAATAAATTTCAATATAAAATATTACATCAGTAACTTTACGGTTAGTGTTTGTTACGAAAATATTTGTTCACTATTTTATAACATGGCTTGGTAATTCCCACCACCAATTATATATAATATCACATCATGTTGGCAAAGTTTTAACTACCGGTAATCCAAAATCACTCTCGATAATTTTGTCTACTCTGTATTTGTACTACGGTTGCATTTGAAGTTTTTATCATTTTAATAGTGTGCATATTTTGTTCCGGTATTACATAAAGGTACACTTTACAAAAATACCCATGGTATATTAATTATAGAATCCATTATGCAGCCTGAACAAAATAAATTTTACTTGATATAATGATAACGTGTTACTTCAGGAAATTCTAGTAAATGAGATTTTAAAAAAGGAATTGTCGCTTGCCCATTAATGCTGTATGTTGACACTACCTTCAGGTCCTACCTGTTATCCAGAGTCTCATGTTGACTATGCGCCGGATCGTTTACTTACTTAATACTTACTTATCAGTGTAAAATTCGACCGAGAAAAAGTCAGAATAGTAACAAAAAGATAAAAGTCAGTTGCCCGTGTCAAGAAAGCTTACAGAATCAAAATTGTCTGTCAGCCGACGCTGTCCTTACCAGCGATATTTTACACATAGAAATTGAGAATCACAATTGCATAGAAATGAACACAGCTATTCCGGCCATCAGGCCATCAATCGAATCATCAGTCTTCATGATCGATTTAACCGATATTTCCATGTTGTCAATTCGAGAGTTTGTTTTTACGTACGGCGACGTCAACATCATCGATTACATCTCAGTCCCTCAACGCTGTGATTACATTTAAGACGCGTTGAAAAGGAAGTCCATTTTGGGCTATTGCCATTGTCAATAATATAACAACGTTGCCATGTTTTTAAGCATACAACGAACTTGAAACAAAAGAAATCGTTCGATCGAAACGACCTGCGTCTTTGGAAATCGAGTCTTATGGCCCTTGTGTTTCCGAGCGAAAATACCATAATCCCAGGGAACAAATATTAATGCTGTAATTCACTCTGATGTGGGAATAGGTGACAAAGGTCAAAACAAATTTGAGGGAATCCGAAAACGTAACTTACTGCACGTGAATTTCAGAACGAACTTTTCAACGACCTGGTTATCTCCTTGCGACTGCAGTATTTGAAACAAAATTGAGGGACTCTAAAAACACAATGTATGGCACGACAAAAATGCAATGTGATGCAAGTAATGCAATATCACGTTTATTTGGCGATATGAATGATTCAGCCCAGCGTACCAAATCTAAAATTTAGCGTGAATGCCTTTCCAAGCAAAAAATGTCGAGGTAAAAAAAATGACTCATTGGTTCAGCCCAGCGGTAATATAGCTTATTTATTAGTGGCGCCAAATCATATTTTGATTTTAGTAATCGATGGTAAAAACCGTGCTTCTGCTATGAGAAAGTGCAGATCTTGAACCTACTTCAGTGCAAATAAATTGTTTTATTGCCTAGCACGGCGAACGCGATATAATGCGAGTGGATTTCCCTACTAAGCTCGATCAATCGATTTGAGGGTGTCATAATAAGCGAGGAAGCTAATCGTTTTTATGCTACGAAAAAGTGACCTTCACCTACTTTTTGTCTTTAGTACAACGTCATTTTTGTTCGATTACCTAGCGTTTTTAGGTTCATGTGCTGCAAGTTACAGAGCACGTATCTAAGCGGCCGTCCCTCAGCAAATAATTAAGTCAAGGCATTTTCGATGTCGAAATCGCGAAACTCTCCATTTTTACGCGAACAGGGAAGTTCGAATTACTAAATGAAGTACAGGACGACGAGACTGAAATACCCAAGAACCAACACATACCAAAAATTATATCTCACAAGTGAATAATCGTGGTGTATTTTTTAAGTCTAACCGGGCGGTGGAAATTTAACATATTTTAGTACAAGGTAGTAATAAATTAGCGCCAGGTACGCCAGGTACGCCACCAACGTATTGGTCAGGTGACCAGTGATCATATATCTGTCAGGGAACACACACACAACATGATAAATAATAATAAAATACGTCAACAAGATACGTTGAATACAGTGCCGCTATTTGCATGCGATTTACCCAGAATATAAAACAGCTATAAATTAGGATAAATAGCTGGGTTCCGTGTAGAAAAGAAATTGTAGGACTGTGCGATTGGAGTCGAGACAACGTCATCGGCATACCAAGATACAGTAAGTCGATTGCTTCCCATAATACTACTACTTGTATTGGTACCTGTACGTCGGCGGCGTATTGGATGTTCCAGAGGTGCCGGTGATTATTACACCCCTCCCCCGAGTTGATTCGAGTGAAGAAATGGCGACGGGTCTACAGGACGTAGTTTTTGAAATGAACTTAGCAGACGATGGCGATGGCGATGTCTGTGCCTCTGACGACGTACTCACAAAGGCTTTCTGGGCACATAAACGGGATACACAGCGTCTACTGGAAATCAAAAGCAAGACTGTCAAATGTTACAACGAGATCAAACACACTCTGTCGAAAAGCCTACAGAAGAGAATGGGCGATGAAGGCATCGTTCTACTCAGCAAACGAGAGCAGAGGAAAATCGAGCGT